GTGTATGTTTGTGTGTGTGCACTTGTGCGAGTGTGTGTGTGTTTGTGCACTTGTGCGAGTGCGTGTATGTTTGTGTGTGTGCACTTGTTCGCGAGTGTGTGTATGTGTGTGTGTGTCAGCTTCATAAAAATCTCACAGAAACTGTTGGTGTCAAATTAGGCTCAAGTGTTAATTGTGTGTAAAAGATTCATCAGAATTAATTAGTTTGTCGAGTCAACATCTAATTTGGCAGCTCGTCTACAACATCCACATGCTTCATTTAAAAGACCGTTAATATTATTGATATTCTGTGACCTCATAACTGAACTTCATAACATAAATACTACTATTTTCCTGTTTATTACTGTGAAGCTGCTTTGAATCCTTTTTTCTTGTATAAAGCGCTATAGAAATAAATGTGGCTTGACTTCACAATGAGAGAAAAACTGGAAATGAGGAGAAAGATTAAAAGAGAAGAGCGGGAGCAGTGTGTTAGTGACTATAATAACAGGAGAACAGAGTGCAGTAACAGCCATGGATGAAGCACAGCTGCTGCTTTATCACAGATCCGCTCATTCATCTCTCAACACGTCTGCAGCTCGCTCCTGATTCACAAAACACCGCTGTAATAACCAGAGCGTCCCACAGCTTCACTGCAGGCAAATCAAGCCGCTTTCTTACATCTTTCTCCTTCTGAAGAGAGTCGACTTTCTCCTTGACTCGTTTATACTCAAACTCCATCTTGTTGGCTTTCTTGGACTCCTCGGAGAGCTTGTTCTGAAGCTCCACCACCTGAAAACACAAGACGGACGGGTCAGAGTCGTTCAGCAGGCGTGAAAGCTGAAGCAGCACATGCTCAGAGTGATCAGGACCGACCAATCACGGCACGAGGGTTTAACAGAGATTAATATCACCCTGAGATCTGTGTGCAGCTCAGTGAGCTTCAGCGTTTGTCTCTGAGGAACCGGTTATGAGCGGCTGTCGTGTGCTCGTTCTGTCAGCTGTTTTCATTCAGTTCATTGCGTCAAATGTCTTTCGGTTTTAGTCAGCCTGTCCTGTTTTTTGTCTAGTCAGGTTTTAGCGGACTAAAAGTCTGGGAATTTTAGTCTAGTTTTAGACAACTGAAACACATTTTAGTCACGCCTCATAATGGTTCAACTGAAAATCACAATTACTTTGCTCAAAATTATAAGCACAAATCAAGAGAATTTCAACTCATACACATGCTTTATTTGACTTCCTTATTTAATATATGATTATAACTATAAACACAATCTCTGCATTATGAAAACTGGTAAAACTCAAAAACTGAAACAGTGACATTCCTAATATTAATTCCAAATTATATTCAGGTCTTTCTATTAAAATAACAACAAAGTGCCAAATACTGTGGTGCGTACGTGCGTTTATTCAGTGGTGGTCTAGATTTTTTGCTGAAGAAAAGTGTTTTAAACTAGATTTTAATCTTTGTCAACGATATTGCATTTATCAGTCACAGTTCGTGACTAATGACGTCTCTGTCTTAGGGTTGCAAAAGGGTGGAAAAATTCCAGGAAATTTTGGAAACATTCCAGGATTTTTTAGAATATTCCAGGGATTTTTGGAAAGTTTCCGGAAATTTACCAGAAATGTTCCACCCCTTTGCAACCCTACTCTGTCTCATGTTAAACAGGTCATCAGCGCTAGTGCTGGGCGGTATGACCAAAAATTTATATCACGGTATTTTTCAAAATTATACCGGTTTCACGGTACATGACGGTATTTTTTTTCATGCATGACCGGGTGTTAACCATATTTTCCAAAAATAAACACCGGTATTCGGAATGAACCGGTATACCGCCCAGCACTATTCAGCGCTCATTCTGGACAGCAGCTGGCACCTGTCTCTTGTAGGTCTCCAGCTGTCCTCGAGCGGCATTGGCCTTGCGCAGATCTTCCTCCAGCGTCACTGTGTTCTGCATGTAGCTGGTGTTCTTCTCCTCCAGCAGCTTCACCTGCCGCCTCAGATCACCCAGATCCTCCAGCTTCTTCTTATACACCTCCACCTGCGCCTCCAGCTTCGACACCTTATCAGACGAGTGCCTGACACGCACACGCACACGCACACAGACAGACAGACAGACAGACAGACAGACAGACAGACAGAGACACACACACACACACACACACACACACACATGTTCATAACTCATGCTCAGCGCTGGTTCTCTGTGAGCTCAGGTGTGTGTCTCACCTCAGCACATCCATCTCGTCTTTGAGCGACTGCGCCTCCTCGGCCAGAGAGCTCAGCTCCTCATTCTGACCTCTGACCTCCATCAGCTCCTTCTCCAGCTCCTCGCAGCGGATGCGGTAATCGTCTTTAGCCGCCTCCAATCTGACACACACACACACAAGATCGTGCCGTCAGTCACACACTTGACCATAACAAATCTCTCAAATATTTCACATCAATATTTCAGAACATCACATATTTCATTGAAACTAACAATGGGACCAAAAATAAAGCATCTCAAAATTTCAGAAAAATCTCATTAGGCAACCGGGTCAATGCAAAAATATAAATGTCAGATGAAATAAACGTCTAATTTCTAACTTTATTCTTTTGAGTTGGGGTGTAATATGACCTATATTTATTTGATCAGTATCCTGATCAACAACACAATGATATTTGTTCTTCTGACAGTCACCAGCAGGCCTGTCGTAATCATGAATCAATGCTGAACAATAACCGTCACACAAATAATTGCAATTAACGATTTGTCTCTTTTTGCTCATGTCTTACATAAAACATTATTTTTTTATAGTTTACCTGGAAACATATAATTAAATATTCCTGTATGTTTTTTTTTAACGCTATTAAATAATACTTAAAAGTTAAAATATTTCTCTTTTTGTTCAACTTTTAACTTGTCCACTTTACATTCACACTGGAATCCAGCAAGCCTGAAATACACGATACAATATAATATAATATAATATGATATAATATAATATAATACGATATGATACGATATGATATAACATAATATATAATTTAATATAATAAACCTGTTAACTGGAATCCAGCAAGCCTGAAATATATGATAAAATATAATATAATATAATATGATATATATAACACAATATGATACGATATGATATAACATAATAGAATAGTATTATCTGTGTGTGAAACTCTAAGGACTAAAAATGTTTAGCATGACGTGAAGGTCTAATAACAGTAAAACCTGAGCATTTTCGACTTAGTCCTTGATTCTAAACTTTTGTGTGAGGTGTAAACCAAACCCAATGCATCTAATCTTCACGTGCTCTGTTGTGAGTGAGGTTCGATTCTCTAAACGTCTGTGGTCACCGAGTCTGTCTGGGATCATTAAATACCGAAATGAGATTAATTTAATTCTTCATGCACTTAAATGCAACTAATGTGCATGGCAAATGCGATTGAAATTTAAACTGCACAATTATCACAGTCATCAAATACCTGCGGTATAATCAGACGATTAATCAACAGGCCTGGTTACCAGCCCAGATCTTTACTGCTCCTCAGCAGCCGCTGCGTCTCTCAGACTCTCTTTAGTATGAACGCCTCTAATGTCTGCGATCTCACATCAGACCCAGACACCGCTCCATCAATAATGCACTGCTTTATTAACAACGAAACAGAGCGTCTGATCAGAGCTTACAGGCTTTTAATCTTCAGAGCTCGAGAACAAACACTGAGAGAGCGATCAATAATCTCCCGGACCGCAGAAAACCCCTGAACACTCACTACACGGATACGAACCTGAGAAAGACTTTACTGGATTAAAGCCGCAGTTTAGTTCAGTTCCATCTCTTTACTTTCACACCAGATACTGTGCACAGATCAGAACTGCGTTATCAGACAGATCGACGCACACAGTCCTACACTTACGCTAATGAAACACATTGCGATCTGGTTGTTGGTTGTGAATATAAAGGGAACCACATTTTAATCACTGGTGTCTTTACTCATACTCTTGCTGCCGTCAGTATGCAATAAACTACTGGAGTCCATGCACTACAATGCTTTCACTAGCGCGCGGTCTCAGATCAGCCCTCAGCAGGATAATTCCTGAACTCGGTTTCGGACCGTCCTGTCTGGGATCTGTCTGCGCTCCTCACCTGAAGGTCTCCTCCTGCAGCTGCTCCAGCTGCGTCTGAAGCTGCAGGTGTCTGCGTCCTGCCGGGCTGTTCAGATCCTCGATGGAGTCCGACTGGTTGAGCCGCTCCATCAGCACCTGGTTCTCAGCCAGAAGACTGCTCTTCTCCTCCTGGAGCGCCGCCACCTTCAGCACAGACGCACAGAGAGTCAGTGTGTGTGTGAGAGTGTGTGTGTGTGTGTGTGTGTGT